GTTTTGGGCCCTAAATTCATTTTATTACCTAGATGTCACCATCTTCACGTGAATGGACGGTTGGCTAGCTGGTGGTCCCAAAAAGTGGTAGCAAGGGCGGTGAGTCACGTATGGCTAGACAACTTGGCATTGATATTTTTGCTATTTTTTCTTTTCTGCTCCAGATTCTGATGTCCACCTTTGTTGTGGCATTTCTTTCTCCATAATGCTACGGCAGTCGTCCAACATTTTCTACGACATTTCTTTCAACATTTCTTCTCCAGAATGCTACAACAATCACATATTCTCCTTAAGCTTTCCTCACCTACACAACACTACAAAGCAAGACCTTTCCCTCAACATCATCGACAAAAAATAAAAATACTGCAGTAAGACATTACTACCAAATGCAACTACATGACCCTAAATGCAATTTAAATGCTATGACATGGCTTTGAAACAAACAATAACCTAAGTAAAAAAAAAGAAGAAAAAATACAACATTTTTACGGGGTTATCAAACCCTTTCTTGTGACTTGAGTGTATTAGGCTTGGCCTCTTCAGGTTGTATAGAATAGGTTGGGCTAGATCAGGTTGTTTGGCATACTGGTTGGTAGGGGAATACTGAGTTGTTGGTTGGAAAACAGTGGCTGGAACTGGAATATCAAGAAGGAAAAATTTGTTGTCCTTATATTCTTTGAATGAAATCTCCCCATGAATATAAGGACAAGTAAAGTAGTTATCTTTTTATAAAAATTGACATCAACAGATACAAAGTTTTTTTTTATGGGAGAATGTTAACATTTGTACTCCCATTGAGTGGAATAATAGCCAATAAAGACACATTTGACTGCCCGTGGATCAAGTTTCCCCCTTTTTTGAGAATGTACTTGGACAAAGGCAACACAATTGAATATTTTGGGATAAGATTATTGGAAGTATTGAAATTGGAAAAAACATTATTTGGTCTTGTATAAGGCTTTGAGACTCAAGGAACTTTGTAGGCAATCTATTTATCATATTAGTTATAGTTAAGATAGCCTACCCAATATTGTTTAGGAACATTTTCTGGAACAATAGGGCCCTTGCGATATCTAGAATGTGACCATTCTTTCTTTTGGCTATACTGGGGTGTGTTAACACAAGATGACTCAAGTATGATGCCTTTTTCTCGAAAATATGGTGAAAAACCTTATTAAAATAGTCTTTGGCATTGTTAAATCTAAAGCTCTTTATTTCAACAGCAAATTGGAGTTTTGGCCATACTGTAAAATGTTTGGAAGGTGGAGCTCACATCAGATTTTTGTTTTAGGAGAAATATCCAAGAAACACAAGAACAATCATCAATAATGGAGACAAACCACTGAGCCCTAAAGATGTTTGAAATAATGGATGGTCCCTAAACATCACTATGAATAAGAGCAAAATGAGTGGATGTTAATTTTTGCTTATTGAAAAATTGGTATGTTTATAAGCAAGTTGATTTATCTTTCGCTTACTAGATCAGATATATCTTTTCCTATAAGTATAATAAGTCAATACATGAAAGACCCAAGAGAATAACATCTAGAAGTATTAAAATGAATCATGAGGTACTTGAAAATGAAAACTGCACATGGATTAATTTTTTGAAAAAAATGAGGATAGAACGATGAGAATTTTTACAGATTCAAGCTCATCAGGAGAGTTTACCGACAAAAGGTCCACTACATGTTATTGTTCATTTGTTTTGGGAAATGTAGTAATTTAGAGAAGTAATAAACAAGCTCTGATGATCATCTCAATTTTCACTCCTCTCTCAATCAGCTAAGTTTCTCACTTTTTGTTCCTTTTTTATGGTTTCTTAGAGAAGTTTAGAAGTAGAGTTTAGGGCTATGACACTTGCAATTTGCGAAGGAATTTTTTTATAATGACTACTAGATGAGCTCGAGTTATGTAACGACAAACACTTTGAACTTCAAAGTTCTAGCAAGTCTTCTATAAGTATCACGAAATATTTGGTTCATTATGACTGAATGAAACATGTAGATATCGATAGAAACTTCATTACCGAGAAGGTGAATAGTGTAGCAGTGAAACTTAACTACGTTTCTGCCAAAAATTAGTTGGCGGACATTCCCACCAAGACACTTCCAAAAATTATTTTTGATGAGATTATATCCAAGCTAGGACTGTAAAATATTTATTCCCCAACTTGAGGGAGAGTGTAAGTTATACGACAAGGGTTATTTTTATGTTAGTAGTTTAGTTCAATTTTAATTCTTAACATATTATGTAGGAGATAGAATAGTTTAAGTAAAACACCAACCTGTTATGTAGGAGACGGAATAGTTTAAGTGAAACACTAACACCTATTTTATAAATATTACTTATTACCTCTGTAAAGAATGTACAATTTTTGTAAATAAAATTCACTTTTTCCAGGAAATTTTCTTTACAATCAATAGAACCTCTATAACATCCTAATTTAATACAAATTGAAGATCGATGAACTATGACGTTACATGGGACAACCGAAGTGGCTAATCCAAAAATTTTATTTTTCTTATTTTTTAAAAAATCTAGTAAAACATCAGTTAAAAGTCATCCACATAATCATAAGATAAAAATATAACATTTTAAGCTTATAGTGACGGGGAGCTTCTAAAAATACATTCAAATTGTTTCAAAATGAGTATTTCAAAATATAATTACGACTCGAATACAAGAAGATCTACAAATAGTACATACTCTCTAAGAAAATCTCAAGACATACTCTGAAGCTTGGGTCGTTATGGAATGTGGATTGTGAGATAAGATTCTCAAATGCTCCTCCTACGATCTTGCGCACGGAAAAAAATTTCGATCACTGAGCTCACAAGCTCAGTGCCACACTAGTAACCTAACTATACTAAATGCGTTCACTATTTAATCATTCTAGTATGCAAAGTCATAAACATACAAGTATCTTAACACGTATACTGAGGTAGGAGTCATGGTGTGGTCGGAGGGTTTCTCTACATCTCGGGATGCACACCCCTCTAGCCTACCTAGGGCGAGATCCGAAATTTCTATAACAAAAATATACACATGGCCGACCAACTCCTTGAGAGTACTTGGGCCATCTACGCTCGTTCAGCAACTGAAGTGCCTTGTGCACTGAGTGAGACATTTCTGAACATTCTAACATACAAGACGATTATCATACTACTAGAGTAACTCGGGTATCCTTATCATTTCCCGAGCGGTCACACAAGACTAGTTTTATGTCTTCCTAATTTATATTATTTCTAGTTATAATTATAATCCTTATTATTGTTCATACTTGCAGTCTTATTAAATAAGCTTTGATGACCTTTGATCCCCCACCAGAATACTTGAGATGAAATGGGTTTCTTACCCAATTCAAGACGAGGGTATCGATACTAGACCCTTTAGTATCAATACTGACCCCTGAGTATCGGTACCAACATGAGGGACCGATACCAAAATAGGCTATTGGAATTCGAGGAGTGCTAATAGCATCGATACCCTTAATTAGGGTATCAATATTGACATATCGGGGTATCAATATTACCCTTAGTGTGGATACCAAATTTGGTTTCGATGTTTAAAAAAATCATCTAAGTATCAATACCCTTACTTAGGATATCGATACCCTCATCATGGTATCGATACTCCCTTGACTATCTGTACCTAAATTGGCTACTAAAATTTAAAACTTAAAAATGGAATTGATACCCCCTTTGACTATTGATACCCTTGGAACAGTATCAATACACTATGAGCTGGTATCGATACTCTTAGCCAAAACACCATATTGTTTTAAGCTACACGAGGAACAATATTAGTACTGTTCATCTAGTACCGATACCCAAACCCAGAAATACCCTATTTTGAGCATGAAAATGTGATCTAATACTACCCATTTGTCCCTCTAAGGCCATCAAACAATGCTTAAGTCTTATGTAAGTTGATAGGGGTCATAAAAAGTCATTTTTATGTTTTATAACACCATAAACTAGAATTTACCATGAACATGATCATATGCTTCATAGACTATTGCAAGCTAAATAAGGGCACTTAGTGATTCACAAATGATAAAAGGAGGATAGAAATGTATTACCTTATTTTTATGCTGTTGAAAATGTCCTCAAATCAACCAAGAACCAACTTCTCTTTGCCCTTGGTTTTGGAACCTTCACTAATCTCTTTCACTAATTATAACAAGGAAAATGAGTTATTAACTCGATTAAGAGACCCAATTGAAGCTAAGAACACTTTCCTACACTCAAGCTTACCAAAAACGAGTTAGAAAGCTCTAGTTTCCTAAACCCCACATATGGTCGTTATGGCCAAACTTTAAGTTTAAGAGCTTGAATGAAAGCTTGAGGTGAGGAGATTATGATTCTTACCTTGGAAATTTCGTACTAAGCTTGTAGGGTTACTAAGTTTTCACCTTTACTAATTGCTTGAAGAAGAAGAAGAAGAAGATGAAGAGAATGGGTAGGAGACAAAAGAATGATAAAAATGAGAGAAAGATGAGAGTGGTTCAGCAAATTACATTACCCTCATTAAAGAAAATCAGCCTTTGGTTGAAAAATGGTATAATAGCCCCTTTAGTTCTTCCTCTTCCATTCAAATATTAAAAATGTTCCTTTTATGATAATATTTGGGCCTAACACGAGCCCAAGCTCAAACCCAAACCCATCCTCAAATGGTCCAAGTTTTCCTATAGATCTAGTGGGCTTATTCAAATCTTCTCGGATTAGCCCAAAACTACCAACCCGAGATTTGGGGCGTTACATCCTCATCAAGAAATTTAAGCTTTTGTTAGACAATTGTTCAAATAAGAACTCCACGGGTTGTTAGCTGTCAAATGGTTTGTTCTATTCTTACAATTCATTACCTATGCAGTTCATTTTTAAGGTGCCTCATGCCTAATATATACTTTCTTTCTACTCTGATTAAATTCAAGATCCCATTAGTTGTTTTCCTTCTCTTCTGACTACGTTGATTCTCAGAAAAGGATACATTTGCAGGAAAAATACGAGAAGGCCTTGGCTTCTAATGTTGAGTTGGAGAAGAGGGTGGTTATGGCAGAATCAATGTTGGAGGCTACCTTGCAATATCAATCTGGCCATCCTAAACCACCAACTTATTCGCAGTAAGAAATGTTTTAAGCGTCTCTCTTCTAATACTCATTGGTTTACATAAGAACAAGAGAATTCTAAATATTAGGATCTGATAAATTTAGAATTAGCTTGGTGGTGATGTGGAAAACTAAGAGAGACATTAAATGCAAAGAGCATATGTACATCAATCCAGCTACAGAAGAAAACTTAAAATTAGATGTTGTTCTACCCTATAGATACCCCTTAGAAATAGAAACAAAGGCTACTCTCCATTGAATTGAGAATTTGGTACGTGGGGCTCTTTGGTTAATGGAAACTGGAAAGTCCTCTTATACACACTCTAAAATGAAAGGGAATGATTCATTTTTCCAAAATATATACTGTTGTATACGTGTATTCTCTTGTAAGGAAATCACAAAAGTGGTTGCATGTTATAGATTTAAAATGTCATCCTATTTTTTAAGGCTGAGATTTTCAATGGCATTTAGAACTCTACTCAACAATAGCGCAATGATACGGTGCGGCTAGAGACTTTGGTTATGCATGTTCTGGGTTATGTTTGCTAAATGGATAGTTTTTAACAAGTTTCCAGATGCATCTACATAGTTATGTCTAACTTTGATAGCATGCTTTTGTAGGACTCGGCCGGACAATCCAGAACGAATGGGGGGCCTATTGTCAATTGGACGCTGGCGTGATAGAAACCAGGTAATTTTTTACGGTGTAATGGTGCTACAATTATTTTTCCATTATATATATGGTTTAGAGTTCAGAAGATGTTACCTATATTTTATACCTTTACTCAGCTACTTCTGTTATGCGGCGCCTAACCTAAGACTAATTTACGGTGGTTTTTAACCTAAAATGTTATCATGTCCGACTTAAAAAGGTATATAATTTGTAATAATTTTGGTTACAATCGAGAATGTTATATTATTGCGGTTTTAACCTAAAATTTTACATAAATACTCTAAAAAGTTATACAATTGATAATAATTTTAGTTACAACTGAGAATGTCTCGACATTAATTTTTAGGTTGCAAGAAGAATAATTATGCAATTTACATGAATTGTTAAGGAAAACATAATATTTTCATTCTCAACATAAAATATTTTCCAGTTTACGCTAAAAAGTTATGTTCTTGATAAGTCTTTTCGGTTATAATCAATTTTTGCCTTTATTTAACTTTATATTAACCTTTATACTCGTCCACCTTTACTCAGAAAGTTTGTAAACGTGAATTTGATATGGCAGGAAAAACTTAATGTCGAAGAGCCCAACTCAAGCAGAACACAAGAAGAAACCAACAGAGAAGGCCAACAGAAGAGCTCTAAATAGGGACAGTCCTGGTGCTGTATTATGCTTTTGAGTTTGAGCCTTAACTATCAAAGAAATCACTTCTAAGGAGTTTGAGCCTTAACTATCAAAGAAATCACTTCTAAGGAGTTTGAGTCTCTGCATCTTTCTGAGTTTTATTTGCTCCTTTTTTTTTTTTGTAGTTATATATCCATACTGCGAATTAATGGCAAGAATTTAAAAAAGAGGGTTCTATTTGTATAAAGTGTTGATTTGAACCCTAGTAGACTTGTTGAACTAAATTGATTTGAATATAATCATATGTGCAGCAGCATATTATACGTTGTTCAGTACACAAGATTCTTATTTTAGTATTGTTGAACTCCATGAGGTAATCCCATCATTATTGATTCTATCATTCTAAGGAGATTTCATGCATTTACAGTATCAACTGTACACTAAAATATCACTATATCATGAATGTGATAGAAATTTCATGTGCATGGAAAAAACAAAACCTACAAGCATCTTCTTACAGTAAACACTGTAGCTCTATAAAACTGTGCCTATTCTTTGTAATAATGAAGCAAAATTTGATACTGTGGCATGCTGCGTTGTGCAGGCAGTGAGCATTTGACCTAAAAGTCCTGCCTTCTCGTCCGATCGATTTCGAAACTGCTACAGCCATCGAGCTTATTATCTCTGTCTCTCTTTGTCCGAGGTGGAGAGACAGGCACGAAGCAATGAGAGGTAGGTGAAAGCTGTGACTACATCAGCAATGAGAGGCCTCATATTTTGCTGCTCTTGAACACACATTGCTGCCACTGCTAGTGCTTGTAATAAGCCCCTCGGAGGATACTGACCTTGCAGCATTGGATCAGCCATTTGCGACAGCATTTCTGTCTTCCAATAAAATCAAAATAGAGAACAAGTAAACCCCGGACGTAAGATGTCAACTTTTTAGCTTTTATCTATAACTGGCTACTTTAATCTGGAAGTACTTTCTAGTTCTGCTGGAAGTATGCAATACTAGCTTTGTGAAATCCTCGCAAACTGTACTCCAGCCACCTTGTACATTGTAAATATTTAGTGTTGGAGCTACTTGATTTTATTAAGGGACCTCCTTCCATCTGTTACCATATGAAAATTCCATGTGTTCTGGTTTCCAAGTTTCAGACTTTTTGATTTCGAACAAATTTTTAAAAAAAAGTTTGAGACTTTTGCTTATAAAACCACTCATTTGCAAAAGCTAAAGCTATAACATCTAAAATATATTGCAATAACCAAACTGCTTTAATGATTAAAGAAATAATTATTGTCGTTGCCTCTAAAGGTCTCAAATTCATGTATGTCGCAAACGTCTTTCGGGTAGATCCGGAATTGGGTTTCGACTTAAAATAAAAATGTTAAAGCCGCCACCGATCATTTAAAAACAATGTTTAGGTGGATCGGACATCATCTTACCTGATCTGCATTTTACCAGAAATGTGTCGGGTTCGGGAGTCGGTTACAGTCAAGGAATGATTAGCACCCTTGTATTGCCCTTTTGGTACTAATTAATTCGTCGGTTGTCTTAATTGCGAAAATTGAAATTTAAATCGAAATTTTAAAATTAAATTCAAATTACTTACCTTTGATCGATTGAGATTATTACTGAAAAAATCAAAAAGAATGTTAAAATGGAAAATAAAAATAAATAAATAAATATCAAATAAAAGGAAGAAAAAAAGGTTTTAAAAAAGGGTTTTAAAAATAATAAAATAAGTAAAAAAATATTAAAAGGATGATAAAATAATAATAAAAATGAAATAATAAAAAAATAAAAAATAAATAAAAACATACAAAAATTAAAAGGAAAAAATGAATAACTAAAATGAAAAAAATGCTTAAATTAAAAAGGAAATGAAAAAAAATGAATAACTAAAAATTTAAAGGACCAAATTGAAATTAATTGAAATTGATGGATTAAACTGGTACTAAAAATGATCTGCAAGAGAAAAATAAAATGTTAGGGGGCAATTCGTAAAATATAAAAATATAAACATGGATTAAATTGATTAAATTAAAAATTCGGAGGCAAAATTACAAACGGTGACCAAATTGAATTGCACTTCAAAATAGCAGGGACGACACAAAGGATTTAAGAATCTTGTATTTGCACAGAGGTCCCTGGTATATAAATACCCAAGAAAACCCATTTCCAACTCAGTTTAAACATTTCCCTCAAATATTATCTCTCTAACCTCTCCGAATCCTCTAAACCCCTCTAACCGGTCGAAATCCGACCACCGCCTCCTATGACCAGACATCGCGCCGACCTCCACTCCGGCCACCGCCCCTGGTGGCTGGAAAAACCAAAACTCTCCCCAAATGTTCCTCTCGACCCCGTGAACCCAAAACTGACCTCCAAACGCCCAAACAACACCCCTATAAAAGTATATCTAAGAAAAAACCCTCGGATCTTACCTTCGTTTGACGGCTACTGATGGTTTTCCACTTACATTTAATGTTTTCCCTTGTGATATGCTTGGTTGTTTAGGGATGTTTGATGCTTGGTATTTTTTGGTATTCATTGTTTGTGTTGCTTCGATACTTTTTGTTGTGTTTTTCCTCTTGTCCCTTGAAGCATCTTGGTGAGGGTATTTATACCCTCTCGACTGGTAGTCGTTGCCGAACATCCCGGGATGAGTCAGTCCTATTCGGCGTTCGTGGCACACTTTTCGATTTGTGGGATACCCACTCTCTGGTTTTGCTTCGTGGTTTATGTTTATATGTTGACTAAATTTTACGAAATTCTTGGCTTCGGTACCGAGGAACTTGGTCGGTGGATGATTTTGCAGGCGCGTGACCTTCACGCGCCGTTGAACGGTGACCACCACCCTCCTGGTGTAATCTGGACCGTTAGATCACATGGCTAGATATAACAACCCTCATACGACTATGCCTTGGAATTCTTTTGTTTTAGGGTTTTATGACCTTAATCATCCTTGATCTGGGACATTGATCCTAGCTTGATCTCACGAACGAAAATGCGTGGCGCCTTGGATAAATTTTAAAACCCTAATTCGAGTGGGCTTACTAGTCAGACATGTCTGCCTACCTGGTTGGGCAGCCCACACTCTTGCTGGATCTGGAGTTGGACTTAATGGACCCTGGACCAAAACAAAAAATCAAATAATAAAAAAAGAAAAGAAAATATTAATAAAATAATAAATAAAAATAAATAATATCAATATAATAGAAAATAAATATCATTTTTAAAAATATATTAGATATGTTTTTGAAAATTGTTTTCAAAACCATATAGTAATATATTTTCAAAAATTATTTTCAAAACTATATATTATATACAATTTTTTAAAAAATATTTTCAAAACTATATATTACATATATTTTCAAAATGTTTTTTTAAAAACTATATATTATATATATTTTCAAAAAATATTTTCAAAAACTATATATTATATATATTTTCAAAAATGTTTTCAAAAACTATATACTATATATATGTTTTCAAATTTTTTTAAAACTATATAATATATATTTTAAAAATATTGTTTTCAAGACTATAATATATATATATATATTCAAAAATCGATTTTAAAGCATATTTTATATGTTTTCAAAAACCGTTTTCTAAAAATTATATATTATATAAACCTCGGAAAAAAATGGGTGTCTATAGTGTAGCAACGATTGCACAAGATATTTAAGGGTTCATTGTCAAATAATTGAGAGTCTTTAAAATATATAATCATTTTGTAATCACCCTAAATTAATAATATATATATGACAAATTACATTATTTCTCACTAAACTTTACTTTTCTCCTATTTTACTCACTCAACTTTCAAATTTTTTAATTTACTCACTGAACTTTACAGATTAAATTATTTTAATCACTCGACCATTAACCTTGTAACGTCGATATGACGTTGCTTACATGAAAGATTTTTAAATCATTAAAAACATGGGAAACAGAATCATCTACCCATCTAACTTTAATTTCCTTTTTCAACCTTCAAAAACCCTAATATTCAAAATCCATCCTCAATCTTCAATACACAATTCGTAAACCTTCATCAACCTTTAATACCCAATTCACTACCAGAATCTTCAACCTTCAATACCCGTCTTCAACCTTCATCCACCAAAAATACAGGTAAGTAAAACAAACAAAAATCCAAACAATTATCTCATTTCTTATTTTCTTTTCAAAAATTCTGTTTTTTTTAATGTTTGACTTGGACATTGCTTCCATCTCCTTGTTCGGTCACTTTTCCCCCTTTTAATGTGAAATTTTAGGATTAGGGATTTAAACCCTTTATTTAAATGAATGACCCACTTTGTTTTTTTTTTAATTCTTATTTACTATTCCATGTCATCCAACTGTTATTATTAAACTATTGCATGTCATCCAGCTGTTACAAGATTAATGTCTAGTGAGTAAAATAATTCAATTTATACAGTCGAGTGAGCAAATTAGAAACATTTAAAAATTGAATGAGTAAAATAAAATACAGAGTAAAGTTTTATCCTAAAACAGATTTACCACGGAAGTCGGCCACGTCAACAATAACGAGGGCTAAAATCGACAATTCACCAGATCAACTTCATTCCCATCCTAGTCCAAAAATCCAAACCATCCACGCCCAGGTTCAGTGTTTCAATTAAAAAAAAAAAAGCCCTGAAACCTTCTGGGGGAAATCGAGAACGAACTAGTAATCGAATCAATTAGATTGCTCTTTTCGGGCGATCGATCGATTAAGTGAAGAGAAGGAGGGGGACGCTTTGTTTTTATTTTATTATATGGTGATCAGAGATGCCGCCCAAGCAAGCCTCAAAAGCAGATTTAGCCAAGAAGCAGAAGATCATAGAGGACAAGACATTCGGTCTCAAAAACAAGAACAAGAGCAAAAATGTTCAAAAATACGTCCAAAATCTCAAACAATCCGTCCAACCCAAACCCGACCCCACTAAAACCGCTCAAAAGGTTCTCGCATTCCCTCCTAATTGCTCCTTTCTTTATTGTTATTAATTATAGACGGGAAAGATCAAATATTGTTCTTATGATTGATTTTTTTCCTCGTTTTTTTATTGTGTTGTTTAGGAGAAATAAAAGATACTAGAATCTGAATATCTGTTTTTTTTAATTATTTTATTTTGGATATTTTTTATTGCCAAGCAAAATTGTTTGTTCTCTTGATTGGAAATTTTGGTTCTTTAGGGATTGTAAATTTGAATGGAGGTGGAAAAAAGTGCAAAGGAAATCATACCCTTTTCTTCTAGTAATTGAGCTGAGGCATTGAAATTATATTTTTCTTACTAGATTCCTTTTTATTTATTTCAGAAAAAGAAAGAGGAAGAGAAGGCCAAAGAGAAGGAGCTAAATGACTTGTTTAAGATTGCTATTACTCAGCCTAAAGTTCCTGTTGGTAATTGTCCCACCTTTTCCTCTTTGTTTTCTTCTTTGTTATTTGTAGTTAAGTTCTCATATTATGCCTTTTCTTTATTGTGTTTATATGGTTTGGTTTATTGGGAATGGAAGTTTAGAGCTAATAGTTGGGCCTTGTGCAGGTGTTGATCCCATGTCAATATTGTGCGAATTCCATAAAGCGGGGCAATGTGCAAAAGGTTTTAAATGCAAGTTCTCACACGACCTGAATGTTCAGAGGAAAGGCGAGAAGATTGACATTTACAGTGATATGCGCGATCAAGGTTAATCCTCATATGAAATTCTATGTTTTCTGATTCTTATCAATTTAAATATCAAGTAGGATTGAAGGGTGTTCTGATTTTTGTATGTTTAGTTCTTTCTTCCATTTAGGAACAATGGAGGACTGGGATCAAGAAACTTTGGAGAAGGTTGTTGAATCAAAGGGGAAGAAGTATCAGCAGAATAAGCCCACTGATATTGTAAGCTTTAGCTGGTTGTCTTTTGCATGTTTAATAATTGTGCGTGATCTTATATTCTTCTGAACTCGTCGTTAAATTAATGTGCTTATGATGTGGGTAAGAAGAAAAACAACAGTAATTCAAAGAAATATGGCTGAACAAACGAGTAGAAAAGATGGAACTCAAGAAAAAAAAAGGGTTAAAGGAAACCTCTAGTTTTATTTTAATTCAAAGAAAATAATAATGATAATTTGTGGCTTTGATATTTTTACAGCTTATTTATGCTAGGGTGACAGATAATTTAATCCTAGCCCTTGATTTAAAACATAAAGGAAACTTATAATCCTAGCCATCCAAAACATCTCTGATATAAGTAAGCTCATGCATCAGCTTACTTATACGTGAAAGTAATGCCTTCAAACCCTGGTGGGAATTTCTTCTATCATGGAAAATGACCAATTAAAAGATAGCGTATCATGTCTTTTGTTATATAATCTGAAGATTTGCAACTAATACATAGTATGAGATTCACCTATGTGGAAATTATTAATTAGATATGCAACTTGAGATATTCTTTTTTCTTTTGTGCCTCTTTTAATTACTATGTTTGGAACTGATTCGGATGTAAAATGCAGGTTTGTAAATACTTTTTAGAAGCCGTGGAAAAGAAACAATATGGTTGGTTTTGGGTCTGCCCCAATGGTGGTAAAGATTGTCACTACAAGCATGCTCTTCCCCCAGGATATGTCCTGAAGTCTCAGATGAAAGCTTTGATAGAGGAAGAGAGCGAAAAAACACCAGTTGAGGATGAGATTGAGAATCAGGTAACAATAATGCTGGAACCAACCTGCTATTCCTCCATCCTTCCATCAACATATTTTGTTACTTTATTTTCATTGGCTTTTAAGCTACCTTAATATTATATGTCTTCGACTGTGGCGTGCGAAATTAAAATCTTCAATTCCTACGACTCCTGAGTTATTTATGGAATGGAAGAAGAAGATGATGGCAGAAAGAGATGAAGGATTGGCTGCACAGAGAGCAGAAAGGGCTAAGAATGACCGAATGAGGTATGCACTTCATGGCATGTTTGCTTTCTTGAGCATTTATAAATATAAAGTGTATGCATATGTTTCTCGGACTATTCACTTGAGGTACCTGTATGAGGATATAACCTGCAAGGTTATTCTCCAAATATGTGAAAAAATTTGCACCTGCAGTAACATAGGCGTCTGTTTTCTTTCTTGATAATCATATTATAAATTTATTGTTTGTGTTTGTGCAGTGGTCGTGAATTATTTCTGTCAGATGCTAGTTTATTTGTGGATGATGCTGAGGCATACGAGAAATACCAAAGGGAGGAAGAGTCAGATGCTCCCGAAAATAAGGTACTCTCTTGCTTGGCAACTTTCATGTCTCCTGAGTTTCATTAAATACTCAGGTAAACAAGAGGTGAAAATCTGGGTAACATATCATTGGGACTTTTGGAGGCTTCTCTATGCGGAACAGGTTGAGATAGAGAGAGCATTGCCTTTTCTAGGTTTTCTAAAGAGGGGGAAAATACTTGTAATAAGACTTTTCTAATTTTAAGCAACATAACTTGCTGTTCATTGCTTTAAGAAGGAAAGTCTGACAACTGCTATCATGCTTACCTCTAGAGCTGCTAATTTACAAATTGGTTGACACCACCTTTTTTTTATCAGTTATCATTTTCCACAGAAGTATGCCAGCATACCACATATTTTGACAATGAGTGACGGAAAACTAACTTGAAAACTTGTTCAGAGGATATTGTAGTGAAGACTACAACTATTTTTGAAATATACCTATCTCAAAACAGCTTAAACTGTCCCTGCTCCTGAGGGTTTTTATGTGACCTAGCTTGATCCTCTGAGCTGGGTTGATAAAAAGTACCTCCCTGATCGTGGTGGTCATACCTGACACATCTTCCTTGTTTACTGTCACCTACTTTTGGCCCCCTTCGTAGGGCCTGAGATTATGGACAAATCTCATATATATGATCGGTTCATAAATAGAATTGGAATGAATGCAAAGTATTTATACTTTTGACATGAATATGCCTTTGGCATATTGATAGGTGATGGACTAGTTCGGTGCTGAATATTTCTTGTTTTGCATGTTTATGTTCAGGCCAATAATTCAGCTGCTGCTGGACCAAGTACCTCAGCAACAACTGATGCTGAGGCCGAAGTTCTTCCAGATGATGATGATGATGATGATGAATTTGACATGGATGAATTAAATGAACTAGAAGCAAGCTTGGCGAAAACATCAATTCAAATTCAGGGGCCTTCTCAACCTTAATTTTGAGATGCACAGGGTCTTTGGTCCACATGCATTTTTAAATTGTTGACTCTATGATCCTGCTGCAAATTACTTCCCATCACGATTCCGTGTCAGTTCATGTGTAAGCCTGATGCTGCACGATCACGTTGTGAAATTGCGAGGTGTATCCTATTTTTGATGCTGGGTTTTTATGAATAACGAGAATCATGATTATGAAACGCAAGTGCTTAAACCATTTTCATGTATTATTAGAATGAATTGACACAGGTACCGTATTATAATGTTGTGTGATCATGTTTTCTTGCTTTATATCATCGTCATTGAGTGATGACAGATGCAAGCATATATGTATACATATTGTTTTAGTTTTCAGCGTCATTTTCTGCCTCTGTTTTATTCTCCTCCTTTCACAGTCATTTTCATTCCCTATTTGTATGCTCAGCGCCCGCTCTCTTAAGGTCAGATTGCGACCTTGCTTTTGAATCGACTCCCTCGTAAACGAACATCCGCCTTCCAACACCCAATCCATAGGTTGAGAACAACCTTCAAGCATTTTGGTTAATCAAAACGTGTCACGATATACTTTAATGTAGAGAGTAAATAATGTGTTAAATCTTTTAAATATTGTTTTTATTCAGTTTAGTCTCTAATAAATTTATTTAATTTGAAATTAACCTTTATTTGTTTTTAATTTATGATATTGTTTTATAAAAACTACATTATCTCAATTATCATTTTTCTGTTTTAGTTATTTCATTATTATATATTCAAAATTATACATAATGTTACATTTTAGTTTCATTTTGATCATCATTATTAAAAGAATAATGGAATTATTGACGTGATATTTTTTAATTTTTAATGATGGTGTGATATTATCTTATGCTGACAAATCAGTATTACCGTTAATTTTTAAAGGTAGGTGAACAAAACATAATATTAGGTGTGATTTTAAAACAAAAAATAACTAGATGACAAAAATAGAATAAAAGTAATAGATACAGTATTAAACGCATAGTTTATCCTATTATTTATTTATTTATTTATTATTCAATATGATAATTTAATATAATAAAAAGATTGTACATCTTCATATCTGAAAGAAAAAATAAGGAAGAAAAATAGGAAAATAAGAATATTAGCCAAGAGAATAAAATCTGAGTCTCTTAGGAAAGTAATCTAGCACTCAATAATAAGGTCAAGTTCTAAAGTTAATATATAATAGAAAAAGGTAATATTTAAGTTAAATTAAGATTAACATTAATTATATTCAATATATTCTTAAATTAATATTAAAATATTTTAAACTAAATTACATTAATATATTCTTAAATTAATATTGCTATTATTAATTATTCTAATTAAAATAATGATTTAAAAAAAAGAAACTAATTTCAACTCATTAAATTAACTTGTATCTAGGGGGTGAGAGTTCGATCGACTCAAGTCGAGTCAAATTTTGAGTTGACGAGTATTATTTTATAACTTGAAGTTGACTTAAATATTTTTTAGTTGAATCAAGTTTATAAAATTCGAGTTGAATAGATTCAAATTGAAAATTTTTGTTTGAATTTAATTGTAAATATTTATAGTATTATAATATTATTTGATTATAATTTAAATAATTTTTTAAAACCATATACAATACATATATATATATCTTCAATTTTTTTCATATGTGATATACATATACTATATAGAGTCAAGGGACTCGAATTAAACTTGAAAATCAATACAATAATGGTAACATTCCCTTCTTGTATCCATCACCAACTAAAAGTCAAAGATGTCATATAAAATTTTCAAAATATTCCTAATAAAAAACCAGTAAAATTTTATTTCTTTAAAACATTTAACGATATAATCATCCAAATATCCTTTCAAATAAATTTTAAATTTATTTATGATAATAGAAATTATTTCTTTCGAACTTACAAAAACCTCCGAAAATTATTTTAATTTCAAACATGAGTATAATTATATATGATCACAACAAAATATATAAGTAAACCTTAAAATCATCAAAGTCCATTTTCAACCTCAATCCTAACTTACTAATATTTAGAAAAGTGACAGAGCTTAATCATCATCGGAATATATATATATGCCAACTAAAGAATTACTCAGAAAGGGAATGATGTGCAACTCCTTCCTTCAGTTAACACACTCAACCTTCATGTAAATTAATTACACATTAAATATACAGTTAGTGACACATTATAATATAAAGTATAACATAAAGATAATAAGAAACATATCAAATATGATTATATATATATATATATATATATATATCTTCATATAAAAAATAACCTAAAAAAGTATCAATTCGAATATAAAGCATTTCATGTCAAATCAATGATAATCAATGAAAATTTACTTTAAACTTATTTGTCAATTTTGTGCATTTCAATTGCACTTCGAATCATAGTCCAATGTAGGTAAATGAGAATGAAAGGTATTAGTGTCACTAAAATGTACTTTTAGTGAAAAAAAAAACCTAGTTTTCTCTCATTGGTGTGATGTTCATATCTTTTCTTTTTCGTCTTTGTTGATCGACGATTGCACCAACTTTATTATTGCTTGTCGATTGCTGGTATTCTTTATTGTCTTTTTCTTCCTATATTGTATCTTTATTTGCTTTTGTTTTTTTAAATTTTCAATAAGTTTGTATATGTTGCACGTTTTCATCTGCCTTTATGACACATATTCTTATGCTTTTTGGTTCTTTGGCCTTTTTAATTTATTTTTTCTAAGGGTTGATTTGACATTACCACGACTGACCAAGATGGTGCTTATCTAATATCTTGTTGATCTTCCCTGCTTTTGACCCTCGAATTGGATTTGGATACCTGATTTTGCATTTGTGGATAGCTTTTCACGTTACTCGAGTCTGCTTTGCGGTTTGTCGATGGTCTTTTAATAACGTAATCCCCTTTTGTGGTTTGTTTTCCAATACGATCAAATCTATTTGTATGTATCTATGTTCAAGTTTATTGGTTAGATTCAATCTTTCCTTGTATGGTCATTATGTGATCTTAAGTTGCTATTTTTTGTTTCAATGATAATAGGAAATTTTCCTAGTTATGTGTTTAATTTACGATTGTGATTGTAAATCTTTATTGTAATTTGAGATATTTCCTATTTTGAATATAATTAGTTGTTTCTATATAAAAAATGTACTTTTAGAGCTAAATCACATATGTACAATAATACCATCAGCACATATGTATCAATGTACCAAAGATCGGGAATTTTATAGTTTCATCAACATATATATATATTATATAATGTAACCTCAAAATATAGTGGAACCATTAACACATATACATTACATACCCGATGCAACTGCTATTACTCTATGTCATGTCTATTATACCAAAGACTCTCGATGAACATACTATGACCTTTCCATTCAGAATCACATGTCATTTATCTATAAAATATTTATAAATAGATATATAAAAAATATCATATATTCGTGCAGTGGGCAGTTCATACCTGAAAATATTCAAGTCTCATTCATAAAAATATTATGAGAACTTCATAATATAAATCAAAACATTTCTTTATTAAAATATCCAATGTTGACTTATCGCACGCTTTCCTTATATCTTATATAATATCAAAATCTTTTAAATGCACTCACTTGGAATGCTTCACTAACAAACTTCATAATATAAACTTCAATCATTTACTTCTTCCTTAGATTTAAGCTTACTTCGGTCTTGATTGTTTGGAATCTACACATACATCATTTACCAAACACATACAATACAGAGTACATATATGTTGGTCAAACTTGCAGGTGCAATAAAAGGCAATAGGAGAAATTGGTTGCCAAGTCAAACTTGCAGATGCAATAAATGACAATAGGAGAAATTGGTTGCCAAACCAACAACCCAATTGACGGTGCATCTTTTGTTGAAAATAAGGAAAGCCAATTAAATGAATTAGTTGGTAGAAATAGAATGGGGGGCTTCTACATCTATAAATAGCTTACCCCAATAGGTTCTTAAAATCCAAGCTAGAAACACAAAGAAAAGCTTAGAGAGAAAAGCTTTAGAAAATTGAAAGCAATTTTCAGGGTGTAATTGGGTTGTGAGTTTTTTGTAAACACCTGTAAATTTTCTCCCTTTAGTAAAAGATCTACAACAGTCTGAAGACGTAGGCATAATTGGCCGAACTCCGTTATCAATTTCGTGTGTTATTATTCCACTTTTATTTCACATTCTCACTAATCTGGTTATAGGGAAATTACTCGTTTAATTTCCCAACAACTAGTATCAGAGCTTTTGGTAGTGAATTTTGTCAATTTTGTTATGTGAGGTTACTATTCACGTGAATAGTAAATTTCGTGAATAATATAATTTGGTCGGCGATACGAGTTTGTCGACGGAGGTGTTCTAATACACGATGGTTCGTAGGAATTGTCAGAAACGATCCAAAAGAAGTTAGATCCGAGTGGGAGCGATGGCTGCAGACAAATGGAATGTGAAAATTAAAAAGTTCGATTGTATGGACTTTGGCTTTTGGAAGATGCAGATTGAAGATTTTATGCACTAAAAACGCTATATCAACCTCTCTTAGGAAAACAACCAGAGGGCATAGAGGATGAAGACTGGCCTCTTCTCAATAGACAAGCCCTCGGAGTTATCTGACTTACGTTATCCCGCAATGTTGCTTTTAACATAGTAAAGGAAAAGACCACGACGGGTCTTATGGCGACTCTCTCCAGTATATATGAGAAGCCATCAACCTCAAAAAAAGTTCACTTGATGAGGTGATTATTCAATTTGCGGATGGTAGAAGGGGCATCAGTGGCTCAACACCTAAATAAACTCAACACAATCACAACCCAGTTGAATTCCGTGAAAATTGAATTCGATGATGAAGTTCGAGTTTTAATTCTCTTATCATCTCTACCAGACAGTTGGAATGCTCTGTTACAGCAGTTAGCAGCTCGTCGGGAAACAGTAAATTGAAATTCGATGGTGTTTGGGATCTGGTTTTGAGTGAAGAAATTCGACGGAGAGAATCGGGTAATGCATTAAGATCCTCAGCCTTGCACACAGAGTCTAAAGGGAGAACTTTATAAAGAAATCCAAACCATGGTATATTGAAATCTAGAACGGGAAAGAAAGATTCTAATTATTATAATTGCGGTAAGAATGGTCACTTTAAAAGAGATTGCCGAGAACCAACAAAAGATACCGACGCACAGAAATCTGCCAACGTGACAGAGGAAATAGGTGATGTCATGATTCTAAGCGTCAATAGTCTGATTGAATCATGGATCTTGGATTCAGAGGCATTTTTCCACGCCACCCCATGCCAAGAAATCATGGAGAACTATGTCAGTGGTGATTTTAGGAAGGTTCATCTAGCT